TGAGACATGGTACTTTGGATATTATTTCATGCACTAAAGGCAAATATATTTTGCAAATGGTGGTGCATGACAAAAAAATTAAGAAGGACTGGGGCCTCCTGGTAGTATATGGATCTGCACATGAGGAGTTTAAAGAGGAATTTTTGGTGGAACTTGCTGCAATGTGCAGCAACATGAGTGTCCCTTACATTGTGGGAGGGGACTTTAATATTCTGCGCAACTGCAATGAAAAGAATAAGAAGATGAATAGTAGTAGATCTACTGATCTTTTCAATTCTATCATCAGTGCCCTGGCCCTTAGAGAGATTTATACTAGTGGGGGTAAATATACTTGGACCAATAATCAGGCACACCCAACTCTGGAGAAACTGGACCGGATTTTGATGTCTGAAGAATGGGAAAACCTTTTCCCTTTGTTTTCTGTTAGGAAATTAGTTCGAGAACTCTCTGACCATAACCCACTACTGCTTTCTAGTGGGGAGGAAAGTAGAGAAGCTCCTAAACCTCGTGGGTTTCGTTTTAATCTTGCCTGGATAAAAGATGAGAAGTTCTTACCCACGGTTAGTAGGATTTGGGCTAGAAAGGTTCAGTCCTCTGACCCTATTGATATCCTGAATATCAAGCTAAAAAGATTCAAAACCTACTTCAAAGATTGGGGATCAGATAAATACGGCCACGGCAAAAGAAGAAAAGAGGAGCTCCGAATTGAGCTGGCCATGCTAGAAGAGCTTGAAGAAAATGGCCCCTTATCCCCTGAGCTATACAGCATCAAGATTGATGTTAGTACTGAGCTTCATGATATACTGGTGAATGAGGAGATATATTGGCTCCAACAGTCTCATGAACGCTGGCTCTTGAAAGGGGATCTGAACACGGACTATTATCATAAGATTGCAAATGGGCGCAAGAGGAAAAACACTATCCATTCCCTTAAAGCTGGGGACGTGGAGATTGAGGGCACTGACAACCTGATTGCCCATGCCACAGATTACTACCAAGAGTTTGTTCGGGCCTGGATCCGGTAATTTGTTCCATTTTGACCCTGACACATGGTCGGATGAGGAAAAGCTTAATGCTAATGACAATGTTGATTTGTGTCGTGAGTTCACGGAGGAAGAGGTCAAGGAGGCGCTGTTCTCTATGGCACATAACAGAGCCCCTGGCCCTGACAACATTCCTGCTGAATTCTATCAGGTGTGCTGGGATATTGTTAAAGAGGATCTTATGAGGTTGTTTGCGAGCTTTCATAATGGGACCTTGGATGTCCAACGTCTGAACTACGGGGTGATCACCCTTTTGCCCAAATCTGCGGGCGCGGATAAAATTCAACAATTTAGGCCTATCTGTCTCCTGAGATGTCCATACAAACTTATTACTAAAGTTTTCGATCGGCGAGTGGAGAGATACGCTGATAAGCTCATTAGCTCGACCCAAAATGCTTTTATCAAGGGTAGAAGCATCATGGACGGGGTGTTGTCGCTGCATGAGATTCTGAATTATACCCATGTGAAAAAGAGGGTGGGGGTTGTCCTGAAACTTGACTTTGAAAAAGCGTATGATAAGGTGAACTGGGACTTTTTGTTAGATTGTCACAAGCTTCGAGGTTTCAGTGACACTT